AAAGAGAGAGAGACCTTTGAGCAACAGTAGCTATGGCTCATCACATCACGAGACGAATCTACAGAAATGTCAATAAGGATCTGAATTTCAGTATCCTCAGTACAAAATCCGTGCCTTATGTGGTGAAACAAGCTAGCAGAAGAATGAAAGCATCAGGTTGGAATTAAAAACCATCTTGTTACCTCAGTGGTCAGTCTTGGCAATGGTCCAATATTCAACAGAGAGGTTTAATATGAGCAGGGCTAGAGAATTAGATTCTAACATAAAATCAACATTGATTTGCAACAGAACATAATGTTTATGCAAAGCCAAACCAAATTAAAGTTTGGTGAAGTCTGTGACTTTCCATGACTAACATACACGAGAACACCTACCTGTGGAGTTGATGGGGCAACCCATTTGTTCAAGTTAATATATTGAATTAATCCACAATTCCAGGCTTTTCTCCTGGATCACAGTCCATAAACTTCAGGTCTAATTTTCTACATACTATTCTGAACTAGCTATAACTATCCTGAGACTAAAATATTTTAGCATTAAGCTCTAAAACCCATAGAAAATACATTGCAATGACAGCACTCTGACAGCAAAATCTTTAAGGTCGACTATAAACAGAACTATTTTCAATTCTTTGCTATGGAGTTCTCTCTGCAGAAACTATTGCTCCTTTATGAAGACTCTAAACTGTGCACTGCCTACAGTATGTAGTACTGGAATGGTTTAGAGATTAATTGCACTTTCCAACACGTATAACATTGCAGTTTCACTGTAGGCCTCATAGCAGAGCTGCTGTATCTTGATAACCATCACACATTATGGGGGAAAATGAGGCTGAAGTCTGACTCCTTTCTTAACATGTGAAATGATTTGAATGTAAAAGTTGCATTTAAATCTATTCCTAATTAAGAGCTGTTTCTTTGTGAAAAGGTTCATATTTCTAGACCTCGGTGCTTTAAAAGCTGTGGAAATGTGTAGCTTTTAATACTCAACTAGCCTAGTCATGGGTAAATTGGCTAACTCATGAAACCCCCATTTTGTGCATTGATCTTTGAGTCTAGAATTTGAAGAGGTGCTTTTCCATCAAGCCTGTTTCAAAGCTCTAAGAGATTCTGCTTTTAAAAATCTGAAGGAGTAAAAAATCTTCAAGGTCAATATTGCCAATGCTTAAGTGCTGCAATACAGGAGAACTAAAAATTAATGCTTGCAGACATTAAAAAAAAACAAAACCCAAAATACACACTTCACTGGAAAAAGCAGTGTGTTAATTTGACCAAGCTCCACAAAATCAGTATAGTTCAAGTGCTTCAGCAGGGCTTTTTGGCATTTTTATCTAAAGCTGATTCAATCATCTATTAGATAAAAGTGCCAAAAAGCCCCACTAAAGCACCAAATCTACACAGATATTGGGCGAGCCAGGTCTAACTAACATGCTGCCTCTTCTGGGCATGAACTGGGCTCAGTGCAGAAGGTGCTAAGTTTAAAGTGCCACTTTTTTTTAAAACATCTGCAACCAGCCTTAATGTTGTATAACTTGCATGCTAGCCACATGATCTGCAATTTCAAACAATAGTTTATGCAGTGTATTATGCAGCTGTGGAAACCTACCACTGTTTTTCCTGGATGTCACGGGGCACATCTACATGTTCAAATAATCTGGAAGCAGTTTACTCTTGAGTAAACTACTTGAGAGTAAACTGTCCCAGGCACGTATCTACACGTACAGGGACGCAGGAGAGGATTTGCTGCTCCTAGCAGCACACTGCTCCCGCTCCCTATGGCCCTGCAATGAGCCCCTACAGCAGCCAGGGTGAGCTCTATGTTCCCCCAGTGTGCTAGCCCAGAGGCCAGAAGACAGCTGTCTCCTGGTGGGGGCTGGGACATTGCTCCCTGCCCCTGGGATTTGCCTGCTGCTAGGACAAGCTCCACCACCAGACCCCAGGCAGGGAATATGTCTGGGAGAAAATAAGGATCTCCCAGAACTGGCTGCACAGTCATGGGGCTGGCACTGAGAGATATCTCCTAGCCTCAACCCCCCAACTGTGGGGCTTGGGCTGGTAGATAAGGATCTCCCAGCACTCAGCACCCAGCCCTGTCAGAGTTGATTTGAATCAGTGCCTCGACACAGTGGAACTTTCTAGCACAAGGCACGGTAAGGCAGAGGAAGTCTCGGCATGGTGAAGAGTTCCGGCATGGACAGAGTTCCTGCCGAGGAAATGCAGATTTGCATAATACGATTGGCCGATGTTAAATTATTCCCACGTGGCGGCTGGCAATTGGCTCGCTAGCTGTATAAAAGGTTAGGGGCGTTTCCGCCCTAGTTGGAGAACTCCGCGATTCCCCCTGGAGTGGAACTCCGGCAGCTTGATCACCTGCCAACGACTCCCCGTCGGCGAAGCCTTGCGACGTATCCTCTGTGTTGCATGCCCGAGTTAGACCCAAGCTACCCGGTCTACAAGAGCTCCTCGATTAACGATTAGAGAGTAGAATTGTTGCAACTATGATTGCCTGCGCTGTATATGACTCTACAGTGTAAGTAAAGCTACCTCTGTTTTTCCAATTGATACGTGTCTCGTCTGTGCCTAATTCCGCTCCGGTGATAGAGAGTACCCATCTGCCCGCCACGGGATAGCAGCCGCAACCCCCACTAGCATTCCCGAGGACTCCTGATCCTTGATTCCCCCTCGGCCCCCACAAGCCCCATGATTGTGGAGTGGGGACTGGGAGGTCCCTGCTGCCAGGTGGAGGGAAACATTGTTTCTGTCCTGGCTTCAGTGACAGAACCCTGGAGGAGCAGGTGAGGGAACTCCAGGAGGTGGTCAGTAGGCTGAGGGGGATCAGGGAGGATGAGGCTGTGATTGACAGGTACTCCATTCCTTACAGCTCCAGAAGCTTACAGGTGAAACCCTACAAGAGGAATCTGCAGCAGGGGAGTGGACGACTGTCACTTCTGGACCCGGGCGACAGGACCTGGCGTCTCCTTCCCCAGTGCATCTGGGGAAGAGGTATGGGGCCCTGGCAGCCTTGGTGGAGGAGACAGAGGAGGAACATTCTCCAGTAGAGGAGGCAGCAGAGGAACATTCTCCAGCAGAGGAGGATACAGAGGAGGTGGTCCCTGCAGCCACTGCCGGGCAGAGTGGGGGACCACTGCCCAGGCAGAAGAAGAAACACTGAGTTATTGTGGTGGGTGACTCAATCCTGAGAGGCATGGAAGGGCCGATCTGCTGACCAGATGCCATAATGAGAGAGGTCTCCTGCATGCCTGGAGCTAATATCAGTGACATCACTGCAAGGATTCCTAAACTCATCAAGCCCTCCAAATACTACCCCATGGTCCTTGTCCATGTGGGCACTAATGATGCAGCTGGGAGTAGTCCGGACTGCATCATGAAGGACTTCCACAAGCTGGGGGTCAGCCTCAGAAAGTCAGGGGCACAGGTGGTATTCTCCTCCATCCTTCCAGTTGGCAGCAGCCGAAAGCGCCATGATGCCCACATCAGGGAAGTCAACCGGCGGCTCCAGAGATGGTGTCTTCAGGAGGGATTCAGATTCTGCAACCATAACCAGCACTTCCAGGGAGAAGGCTTCCTAGGATGGGACAATCTTCATCTCTCTCCTAGAGGTAAGCATCTTTTCTCCTGCAGATTGGCTGATCTCTTCCAAAGAGCTTTAAAATAGGTTCAACAGGGAGTGGGAAACAGGTGGTTGATCAGAACTCAAGAGCTGGAAAGCCACAGACAAGGCACTGGACCTAACCAGTTAAGCTCTAAGGGGAACACATGCCATCAAGGCAAAGGGACACCAACAGCACCCTCTGGGGGGCTAAAATGTCTTCACACAAATGCCAGGAGTGTGGGGAACAAGCAGGAGGAACTCACACTCCTGCTTGCTAGCACACAGTATGACCTAGTCGGCTTAACTGAAATATGGTGGGATTCTATGCATGACTGGACAGTAGGCATTGAGGGGTACAGGTTGTATAGATGAGACAGAGTGGGGAGAAAAGGCAGGGGTGTACCTCTCTATGTTAAGGAGCAGTACACATCTTCTGTCATGAAGGCAGGAGTGGAGGAGGGGAATACCGAGGCATTGTAGGTCAGGATCCAGGGGGGTCAGGGGAAAAGGACTTAGTCGTAGGGGTCTACTGCAGACCTCCTCACCAGGATGACAAGCTAGCCGAGGTATTCTCCAAACAGCTTTCAGATGCCATACAGGCGAGGGAGGCAGTGGTCACGGGGGACCTAAATTACCCGGACATCAGCTGGGAGGAACAGGTGGCCAAAACAAGCCACTCAAGGAGGTTCTTACACTGTATGCAGGACCTCCACCTGACCCAGATGGTGTCCAGTCCCACCAGGGCCTTTCTAAACCTAGTCTTAGCAACAGGGGATGATCTCATAGGAGACCTGTGGGTACACAGTAACCTGGGTGATAGTGACCACCACTTGGTAGAGTTCACTATCCAGTGAAAGGTGAGAAAAATATCCAGTGATGCTAACATTTTAGGCTTCAG